ATGCATCTCATCAAGTACGAATATTCGTTCTACGTTTGGGACAACTTTCATTCAAAAGAATAACGACGCATTGGAACCTAGGACCGATCGCTTCAAACGTCAGAGCCACCAAGTCACGATAGATACCTCTTGTGTGACATATATAACATGGTTTTCTCGATGTTATAGCTCGTACATTCTCAGTATTGGTTAGATCAAACTCATCGGCCACCATTGGGATATGGACTCCTGTGTGGAGGCCTCGATACAACCGGTATTTCTCAATTTTGATATTATTGATGGATATCTAATAACAGGCTTGTTTTACCTGAGTAAATAACATAAAAAGATGAGTCCTTTTATGTGGGTGTGTAGCAAAATTTATCTGGCAATGAAGATAAATTGCTTCTTCCTTGTTCTTTATTGAAACAAACCGAGAGGTGCTCTCATACACAAAATGACCTGGTGTTTGATGAATAAGTTACACATCTTGCTCCTATAGGCAACAGTTACCAAGAAAATATGCAACAGCAAAAAAAGCACAGCAGAAATGCACATAATTTCTAAAGTTGCTATTAACTGTGTTTTTCAATGTTTAATGCGTATAGACAAAATTAGTTACAATAGTAACCTGTTATTGGTAGTAGGGTATTTGACGATAAACCTTAATAAAGTTACGTGAGATCAGCAGCAAACAAAAGATGCATATTCAGCTTAGTGTCACTAACTTTGGGCTAAATAACTGAATATTGATTTATAATTTTGTTAATGCATTTTTGTTGTGCAGAAATAGACTTGTGACGGCATTAACTAGAGAGTTAAGATCCATTTACCTACCAAAAAGATAGTCGTCTCTAATATCAAGGAGGCAATAGCTTTGGGAAAATAAAGTGGAATAAAAATAAACCAAGTTCTATATAAGTAACTTTGTAATGCACTGGTCAATTATTACATATAACCAGATGGAAGGGCTTCGAAAAGAGTCTTGGAAAGATTATCAAAGGAAAAGGAATACCCACTCAAGTTTTAAAATGTCAAAATATTTGAAAGCTGATTTGCAAAGTAGAAAATGGTTTGTCTTTGACAGTTTTGTTTGCTTTTTCATTAAGGTAAATGTTTTTTTTATCTCTGTGCAGTGAGAAAACATTATCTTTACAAAGAGAGAGACTACTGAAAGTTTTAATTACCAGGAATAAAAGACCCCTGTTTAATAAAATCTGAATTCACGGTCTGCGTGTGCCTTGACTAGTTTTGATTAAAACTTCATGCCTTTTTGTAAACAGTTTTTAGTCAGAACAACACGGAAAATGTTTTTCGTACTTAAAAGTGGCTTTCCACCTCGCTTGGATAACTGACACACAGACAAAATCAACCTGGAACCTCCGGCACAAGTGCATTGAATCAAGTTGCCACAATTCAAAGTAGCATACAAAGAACAAGTAGATAGGAAAAGATTGACATGAAAGAAGACAAAGTTGTATGAGAAAATAAAACAATTTGAAGATAATTGTTAGTGCAAATATTCAAGCATCAGAAGATGTGAAGGAGTGAATACATTTGCCCCACTGTAGCTGTGCCGCTAACAACCACTCAGTCAGAGCTGACGCAACTCTCCAAGTGAACTGATCGGCACATTCCACCACTTCACTCTTTATCCCTAAAGTGGGGGTAGATACATGCCAAACACACTTAGATTTCTGCTGAACGCGTTCAGAAGACCCTGCATTTTTTCTGCATCCTCACTCAGCAGGATAATATTGTCTGAACACTCCAAGTCAACCAGATCAGTAGTACTGAACAGAATATTTGCACACAGAAAATATTCATATCTCCTTTTCTTTATACTTAATAGTGATAAAGGAAGGATACAAAGGTTAAATTAACAAAGTGGGAGGGTGAGCTAATAGGGTGGCCATGATAAAGATAGCTATAACATTTCCCCCCCCATTAGCTCCCCCTCCCACTTTGTTAATTTAACCTTTGTATCCTTCCTTTGTCACTATTATTGTTATTATAATCGCCTTCACTTTAATTAGTTTCCGGTGTTGTTTCACTTAATTGTCTTAATCCTTTTAGAAAACATTGACTTCATCTTGTCCAACTTAACTAATGCCATTACATAATACTTAATTGATTTACCATTTTCAACAATTTTTTCACCCCCTTCTGAGTTATATACTCTCTATGTACCATTCCATATATTACATAATCTATTTGTTATCATTCACACTTCAATTGTTATTATAACCACAAATGTCTATGTCGTCATCCGCTCTATTATTATTGTCATCACCATATAGTGTTTAGTTTTCCTCACAGGATATAATTTTTTTCCAAATATCATATATATACGATTGTACGGCTTGAAAATAAATTCGTTGAAAAGAGTCTCTTCACTGAATATCTTGTTCTTGATGTTACAATGGGAATTATTAAATTAAAGTAATAATTGTCACAATCTAGGAATTTAACTAGGCGTCCAACTACTGTTGTTTTATTCCTCAACTAATCATAATTTCTGATCATTATACCAAGTTGTGGATCAAGACATACACAGACTATATAAATCACTGGTTTCATACAATTTTGACATTTTTACACGAAGTCCACCGAGTCTTAAGTACATTTCTATTCTTAAACAACTCTCTTCTGTTAGTAAGGAATAGAAAATTTGAATTGGAGCAAAACAGTCTTCTTGAAACTTACTTCTTTCGTTAGTCATTTATGCACACGCTTATGTAACCTGTATAGATAGTTCCAGTAGAGGTTTAGAGCTCAATGGCATTTACATTTTCCTCTTGTAAGCCAAGGTCACTTTCTGCGTCATTGGATAAAAAGAATTTAATTTAGTACATGAAGATACACTGAATTATAATATGGGAAATTTAATTGAATTAATTAGTTTGGAATAAATCACCATAACAGGAAAGAGTAGTACGCTGATGATTAAAAATCCCCATGGTTGCCAACACTAACTCGTACTGCAAGCGAAGGCTTATCGCATTGAAATAATGGAACGGCAACTTAAATGCCCATCAAAACATCCTATTTTGTTCATATTTATTCTTGTTCTTATATATTTTGATAGCTCTGTTGATACGATTTACACCACTTGCAACAGATAAACATCTTTGAATATCCATCCGAAGTATTGATAAGTAAAAACAAGAGGACAAAATATCATGTTTACCAAAAACCATGAGATAATGTGGCTACTATGCGCTTATCTCGTCCTCACATTCATTCATGGTAAACAGAATATACTTTGATCCATGATACCTGTTAATTAGTTCAACTTAACTGTTGCTCGGTTCAGCGGTTTCAGAGATTCATCAATTGATGAATCAAGTTTGTGGAATTAATCAATAATTTGTGGTGATACCGGGTGATCGTCACATCATAATTAGTGAACTTAGACCATGAAAGGTGTGAGCAGCTCTGATTTTCAATCAGTTACGTAAATATTCGTATGCTTCCCATAAGACCTCATGGTTTGGGACTCTATTCTATGTCCAGCCGTTAGTTTGAAATGATGATTAGTCTGACAGGCGAATGGAATGAAGATCTAGGGCACTCTGGGTTTTGTTAACTCAATCAGATATGTCAGTTTGCAACAAGAATTGACTGAACTGCTTGGATACTATTTGAAGGTATTGTAACCTGGTGACAGTGATATAAGTGAAATAAAAATTTAGGAGAGAACGAACAAAGATCTGCAGCACTAAATCTGTTTTCACTGCTTTTCACCAATTTAATATCATTTTACATCTGTAGGCGAAAAATAATCAAAGTTTACTAGTACTGGACTTGTTGAATGAAGTCATCGTACACATACTAAAATTATTACTTCACTTTAAAAAAGCTAACAATCCAGTGAGTTTCGCCATCTTACAAACTTCAGTCCGTACTCAGGCTTGCAAATTACTAAGTGCTGTCACACAACGACAGGTTTACCGCAGCTACATCATATACAACTCATCGAAATGTTTTGAACAGCTTAGAATGGATCATTATTAACGTGTTTTCCTGTAAACTTGAGATAAGTCTTACAAATTTAGTTGCTGAGCAAACTGAAATTCGTCATTTCTCATTAACATGTTTTCCTGCTTTCTTTTCTGTCAAGATAGTAGATAGTCTCATCATTTTGAAAGATGTACCTTATCCTTTGATAAAATGGCTCAGTGAATAAAGCTCAACACACCTGCTTCAAACTTATTCCATAAGTCTGTATGAACCCTTATAACCAGTTGGTTATGAAGATGGTTTCTAATAAAAAAAATCACTGACCGTTACTTGGTCATGGCTAGTCAGAAACCATTCTCATATCACCGTGATTTTCAGTCACTTCACAGATCCAAATGAGTACTGACAAGACCTTCCATGAAGATAATAGGATAAAGACGTGTAGTTGAATACAGTTAATTTTTCCCCAAAAAGTGATGTTATATACTTTGGTAAACACCAAGTTAACGAACTACACTCAAAATAAGCATACTCACAAAACCTAAAAAGCATCATTGTAAGCTTCAATGAAGTCTAATTCACATTTGCAAACATAATAGTATATACACACAGATATAATTTTTAAATACTAAGATAGCCTGCTAGTCAATTTTCGAAAATTTTACTGTTCCGTTCTGATATGATTTGTGTTAAGCTACTAGTTAACATAATTCAAAGACTGCAGATTTTCATGATGTCCAAATTTCAAGAAATTATTCAAAAGTTTATTTAAATTGACTTTCGTCTTTGGTGCTTGGTTTGTTGTTCAAAATTTAGCTACATTGTAAACACTAATGGACACAGTGAAATCGAAATCTTATTAGCTAATGAAAAATTGGATGAACAGAGAAGTAACCAATGAAAAGAACGTGACTACTGATTTTCTATTTATTTGACCTTGGATAATTCTTTTTCTCTCTATTGGCCATATATTTAGATAAAGAAAATGTTTTCTGTCATATCTTAGAATATCACTTCGAAAATAAGTAATTTTTTGAAAAGAGGAAGCATTATCTAATATGGAGGACAATGAACAACCCTCAACATCTGATGGACTGGATATAGGTGAAACCAAGGGGACTTTATCTATGAATGAAGTTATACGGAGAGTTTTAATGCCAGTGGATGGAAGTGAGCACAGTGAAAGAGCATTTAAATGGTATATGGATAATATTATGAAATTAACTGACGGTTTATATTTGGTTCATATAGTTGAACCATTATCGGCTGGATTAAATTATAGTCTTGCAAGTAAATCACCGTCTATGAAAGATGATTTTTCCCGTCATATGAATTCACTCATTGATTCAGGTCGGACATTACGTGAGAAATTTCTTTCACGTTGTGAAGAAGCAGGTTTATCGGCAAGATTTACCATACATGTTGGAACTAAACCAGGTGAAAATATTGTTCGCCTTGCACAGGAAAATGCAGCTAACTTAGTCATTGTTGGCAATCGTGGCATTGGAACAGTTCGTAGAACATTTCTGGGTAGTGTAAGTGATTACATTTTGCACAATGTTAATGTTCCGGTTATCATAATACCACCACCTAAGCATTCAAAAAAGAAATAGAAAAAAAAGCAGCGTGAAACAAAACTTTTTTATCCTTCTATACCTTGGTAGAAAGATTTATCAGAACATTGTCTTGACTTGTATTTATCGACCTTTTTAGTTCAATTTGATACTGTTGCACGTCACTACCATACAAGCATTCTCTATCCTTCACCACATTTATTAGTTTCACACTTGAGACAAGATGTACTTGTCGCCTGTGAGTGGTTTCAGAGAAAAAGTATGTTCAATGTTATATTTAGCCAATCATTTTGTTTTTCAATCGTTTTAATTTGAACTTGAAATGGGAAGTGTTATTGATATCAAAATAAAAAAGAAAGAAGAGTAATTTAGACCAAATAAACCAGTCATTTTTTTCCGTATTACTTGAGTTAAGTATTGCTGTATTCTGCAAATAATTAGAATTATGTTGTTCAATTTGGATTGGCTTAGATAGTGATCGACTCGATTTAAATAGGTATTTTCGCTCAAGTTTTATCGCATTCAACCTCTTTGTCTGGAACTCAAAAAAGACATATACAGGTGTATAGCTACATAAGTACAATTAAAGCAGTTAAATTCTTATTCTTAAATACTGAAAAACTGACATGGATTTATGCATTCAATATTTAAAGTTGACGATGTTAATTGAAAGCACTTCAGTCACGTCTTCGTACGAATAAACGATATTACTATCCTTCTACTGTGAAGTAGTTATTAGGATCAAACTATCTGTAGATCTTCTGAGATTCATGGTATGAGATTACTGTTAAAACTGAATACATTTAAGCTATCCGACGACTTCCTTAGTAGTCACTGTTGAGCAGGGTTTTCATGGTTGCGAATTCGTTTAATTTATTTTATCTCAATATATATTCTGATCAACTTGTCTTTAGTTTCGGGCTCACAGGAAGTAAAGTTACACAAGTTTAGGTACACAGGTACAGGTTGTGAAATTTGTTTAGCAATTTACCATATTGTATTGAATCATTCGTCTTATATTCTTATCAAACGGATATTTATGAAGATATGAATAAGAAACAGTTAAAAATGAAGTCATATCCAAACAGTTGATCACTTATGCAGAAACAAATCATCCCATGTTTTCAGGATTTCGTCTTATTATCAAGATGTCGACAAGCTTTTCAATTTGTTCTAATTCATATAAATGTTGACAGTTAAATAGGATATTTCTGTCTGCAATATCTGACAGCAGTATCAAAATACCGTCTATGCAAAGCAAAAATCTTCGGTGTACCATCCATTTATCTCTACAACTTACAGATAAACACACCACCTAAACAATAAATGACCTCAGAAGCACCTTCATTGCAGCAGAAACATCCAGTTTGTGGAAACTGAGATTTAAAGCGCCATGTTCACATAATGATTAATTTTGTAGCAGACATAATTGTTGCTGACACGTTTTTGCAATAGTTAAATAACTGATGATGGATGTTGTATTGATCTTGGTAACTAACATTAAAATCCAGGACTCACGTTTTGTCCTACCTGGGACTCGTCGACTGGATGTACCTGCAACCCAGTGAGTGATGCTATTCCAACTGGGAATGGTGATAGATGAAATGAAATCAAAATTTCTGACAAAATTATTGAATGAAGTCTGAACTAATTAACTATAAATACTGGCTGATTTAAATTCTAATTAGGGTGGATATTGTTATAATAATGTTGCTAGTTGGTGATATAAAGGCCTAATGATAACAAAAAGGTGTTATGTAAGATTTTTTTAGGTTGTTTATAAGGTGCGTATAGATTACAAAGAGGTGTAAACATGACAGGGCAAATAAACAACCAAAGAATTAGCAAGTTATTCGAAAAAGAATATTTCTCGTTCACATATGACTTTTAATATACGAAATGGGAATTTTTAATTGCATGTTATTCGAATGAAAAAAGTTATTGGAACAAACTGAAAATGTTTTGTTGAAAGTTGCAATTATTAGGAAGATTAAATGAAGTCTCACAGGAAACTATTAAATGTAAAAGTAAAAATGATAATGACGATATACGAGTACAAGAAATAATCTAACAAAGCGGGAACTGAGAAGACAAAAAGGAAGAAAATAAACCAAGACCAAATTAATGCCAAGGTAGAAATAAAGACTGTACATACTATTTTTGTTCGCAAAAATCAGGCTTCAGTTCATGGATAGTCAAGGCCTCTGCCGTTTTTTAGAAGTTAAAGACGGAGAAGAAGTATGAAATTTTCGAGCGAATTCGATAGACAACCTCAAAATTATTCATTGTTTGTATAGGTTAACTGGTTGGAATTCATTAAGAGCTCAAGGACGAAACTTTTAACGCGTTTCCTTAAACCCTTATAAGACTAAGCTGAAATACGTTCTCATATACGTGTTGACAGTAATCTCCAGCTACAGTCAATATACCTTGCTTCATAGGAGCAGATGAGCTGGTAGATACACTTGGAGGAGGCTTGTCCAGGCACATTGTCTTCTACATAAACGGAGAACAATTTACAGTCAGTAAGGGTCAAATGAAGTTCGGCTAAGAGAAAAGTCGTAATAATTCATTTCGAAAGACGATTTTTCAATGTATTTGCTGCTACGTCATATTTAATATCCAGATTCATGAACAGCGTCATTTTAGAAACTGAACTGATGGCTGATGTTGCATGCCATCCTGGCATATTTTTATCAGAAAATCGGCCAGGATAACCGTTTTCCGCAAGGGTACCTTTTAGAAAGTCAAGTCCAACTTGCTTGCAGTCTGTGCTACAAATATCTCGTGTTTGATAGGAGAGTCAGTGAATGTAATTTTTTTTCCTCATGATCGACACCCAACCGTAGAAATTAGTAAGCTTTCCGTCCCAAGTGGGTTTTCTGTAAATGGATCTTTTTAGAGTCTATAGTTATTCCTCATAATTAGCATGTCAAGGAAAGGAATAGGCGATTCCCATTCCGTCTACACAGTGAGCTCCAATGCTGAGTGTCAGTTTTTGAACTTGTGTAGGATGTCATTTAGATCGATATTTGAGTCTCAAATCATGGACATTCATCCAGGTATCTCTTATAGTGTCAAAATTAATATTAGTTTGGCTAAGATTGGGATTTTCCGACTTTGACATAAAACAGTATGCTATTAGAGTTCCTAGAGGAGATCCCATTACAATCCCATCATTTTCCCCCTATATCTTATTAGTGAAATCAAATTGCACATGAAAAATACATCTCATCAAGAGCTCTTTCAAGTAATTTGTTTGAATTCCTATTTATATATTGTGTGAATCGATGAAATCACATATCTGACAAGTAGTTCTAGTGAGTGGCACACTGGTGAACACAGAGGTGGCAACTAAGGAAAACATGAATTTACCAGTAGTGTCAACATCTCTAATGCTATCAATAAAACTGAAACGTATCACGAATGGGAAAATGTGAAAATTGTCTACTGACTGGTTCCAGTAGTTTAACTAAGTACAGGGCGAAACAGTGATAAGGAGAACCTGACATATCTGAAACTAGACGAAGGAGTAGTCCTGCTTCATGTATCTTCGGCAATCCATAAAGACGTGGAATTACTGGACCTATGGTTGAAATTAAAGGAAATCAACGCATTATCCTCCATTTTCTTCAAGAAGCCTGTGAGTTGGATTACGCCATTATTGTCAACAAGCGATTTGAGCTGTTCAGTATGATGTTTCGTCAGTAGATGATTCCAGCTAAATTGTGAATTAGTGAACTGATGACAACAGTCAAAAACAGTGAATTTAGAGGGTTGAACATCATGTGGTGATGCTGGAGAAAGATAGAAAGTCTGACTAAGTAGGTTTTCAGATTGCATCTGAGTGTGAATTCGTTTGCTTATTAGATATACGCCTTGTATTTGATTTTCCACTTTTAGCCAAATATTATATACCACTGCAAAGTTGATATTTTTTGGAGTTAATGAATTCAAGATACGTACTTATAGACGTTCCAATATTATTCTTACTAAGATATTGACAAGTCACTGATATATTCGACAGGAAATCAAATCCATACGTAGACATCCTCCAAGTTAAAATATAAGGGGATATGCTTGCATTGGTTTAAAACCAGATTCATTTAAAATTTAATGTGTGGAATTAAAAATCGCAAATGGTTGTCGAAACCTTATGAAAGGTTAGCAAAAATTTAAGATTAAGCCTGTACTACTGACACAACTAAAATAAACTCTAAATTTTTCGAATGCCTTAATTTATACCAAACTAATATAATCTGAATGCTAAAATTCATGATTTATCGCTTAATTACATTTCAAGGCTATAAATATATTGTTATTTCAAATAGTGATTTTGCTAATTTTATTTTCTGATAGGTGGGATCACTGTTATTATCTACATAACCGAAACAGTAATCTACAAAACTATTTTATTGACTTCATGATCAAGATTTGATATCATAGGGTTGAATTAGTTGTGCATGGAATAAATCGACTATGACGAAAATGTATTTGTAAATTCCCGGTGAGACAGGAAAATAAATTTCTGGTGTTCCGCAACTTCGTGGAAGTCGCTTCTTCACAGAATGAAACCTGTACAAGTTATTGCATATTAAATAGTAAGTGGAGACAAACGAGATCATGTTGTTTATAATTACTGTCATGTATGAACAACGTGATCTGATTTGTCTTCTCTTATTTTTTAACATCCGATAACTTGTACAGGTTTTATTATCTGAACAAACGACTTCCACGAGGTCGCAAAAAATCAGAAATCTATTCTCCTACTTCATTACGATCTAAGAAAAAATTTATTCTATTTATACTACAAAATCATTGTTTACTTCGGCTAGTACCTAAAGATTTTTTAATGACATGCTGCCGAATTTCCGCTAGAATAATGAGTCTAACAGTCGGTTCAGTGAATCAATAATTTTTCTCGATATTTCTGTTTTTACACAGGTTATTCCAATAATACGGAATAATTTCCATAATCCCTAATCATAACTGAACATCGTGTACTTTCAGAATATATGGACAGAACATAACTAGATAGAAATGCAATAAACAAATTACATAGGTCGATCAAGAAGGAAAGTCAACGCAGAGAACATTATCAAGTCTCCCCAATATCCATAGAGAAATACTAGTGAACAAGGTTCAATTTACCTGATATCGCGTAAACGTCACTCAGGTGTTCACTCCTAATCTGCTAAAAGTGTCTTTTCATAAATAAATCTTATCTGAATGTATTACAAGCCGCCAAATGATATATTT